GATTTGGTCATATGTAATTCCTGAAGAAGAATAACATCAGGGAGAGTATTAATAACCCAAGCCCTAAACTTCATTCTCTTCCGGTGAGAACATATACCTTGTATGTTGTATGAGTAAACGAGAAGCATTTGCGAAACATATTTCCAAACTAAAACCGTTCACCATCCTCCGCATTGGACGAGGATGATGGTTGATGCATGTGTTGCTTTTCGGATTCATGTTCACTTTGAGCCACTGATGGTGTTTTATCATCAGAGCCACTACTGTTTAAACACCTTTTTATTGTAGCCTGGTTTGCCTTATACAACTGGTATGCATCCCCAACAAATACACGTGTCCCTTTCTTTCAGTATATAAGTATATCTTCTCTTTATAATGTGATGAATACAAGCCAATGCACCAATGTTAATAAAATAAAGTGAAATTTAAATCACTCCAAACGCTTATTAACCAAAAAGTTCTCTTTATAATAATTTGTAATATAAGCGATTCTCCCTCCTTATAATATTTTGTAATTTGTAATTTTGGCACGAGGCCCTACCTCTTTATAATGTGTTTAATTAATATAAGTTTTGTTGATACCATACTATAGAAATGATCCCTCTTTATAATGTGTTTAATATAAGCCCGACATTTGAGCCTGTCGAAGGCTCATGTAATGCGAAGTCAACTGAGTTCGATACTATTAACGAACAGGCTAATTGATTGATTGATTAAAATTTTATTTAATAATTTATTTTTTAATAATGAGTTGATTAAATTGAATTTGACTTCCTAACGAGTTGTAAATATATATATATGTAGAGTAAGGAACATACATCACTCATTCTACTATCCTACTTTTCCTTAAAAATGTCTATTGTAAAATCTTCTAAAGATAAAGATCAACTTCTTCTTGATGGTTTTCGTTATCGTCGTGCAAATAAAAGTCAAGTTACGTGGCGTTGTGTTAAAAATAATTGTTCTGTTCCTGTAACTTTTGATGGTACACAATATAGTAAATTAACTGACCATAGTGATGCACCAAATTTAGACGAAATAATAGCTGCCGAATTTAAATCAAAAATTAGTGACTAACTTCACATGATCCACCTCGACGAGTTATAAATGAAGCAATTATTAGATGTTCATAAAGATGATGGAACAGCTATACTCAGTTATACAGCATCACAACGTACTATTGAACGCAAACGTAAAAAAGATGACATACCATTACCAAGACCAACATCATTCGAAGATATAAGTATTCCACAGCAATTAATAGTAACCAATGGTGGTGATCGGTTTTTATTAAATGATAATGAAGACAGTGATAACAGAACAATTATATTATCATCTGATGATGACTTAAACCGTTTATCAAATTCTGAACATTGGCATGCTGATGGTACATTCAAGGTAATTTTAAGTAGATTTGTGGTTAGCTTAAGAACAAGTACTTAAACATATACTTTTTTTTTAAACATATAACCTGTTTTTCTCGATAGCTCCACATCTTTTTTATCAATTATATATAATACATGGTTTTATTTGTGGACGTTCAATACCGCTGGTGTATGCTCGTCTTCCTGGTAAATCTGAAGCCGTTTATGGTGAAGTATTTAATATTTTGGTAAAAAATGTCAACAAACATCCAAAATCAATAACAATTGACTTTGAGAAAGCTGTCGAAAATGTTATTAAACAAAAATTACCAACAATAACAATCAGCGGATGTTTTTTTCATTTTAAACAAGCTTTATGGAGAAAAATACAAGTACGTACGTAGTTTAACGGATTATACAACTAAAACTTCAACATGGTTAATTTTCTTTTAACAGATTTTGTCGATTATTTCGAAGATAATTATATTGTATGTCGAATTCGTAATAATCGTCGTCGTGTCCCTCGTTTTCCAATAACTTCGTGGAGTTGCTTTTCGCGTTTGGACCAAGAACTTCCAAGTACAAATAATTCTTCAGAAGGATGGCATCATGCACTTAAAGTAAGATCAAGCTCTACAGACTATTGTCCTCATAAGTCAGCTACTTTTATTTAGAATTCTGTTCGTATAAAGCCATCTATTTATGAATCTATTAAAGATCTTCAAGTGGAACAACATGCCAGTTTAATTATGGCTGAGAAGTTAGAAGCTGGGCTTGTAAAATTGACAAAACGTGCGGTATATGAACGAATGGACGAACAACTACAACAGTTAATTACCACTTTTAACATAAACACAAGGAGTATTTTAAAAGAGCAAGAGCTTTGTTTAATTTTTGAAATTAAAAAAATAAAAGTCATATAATGTCTGTCTGCGACCGGCTCAAATATCGAAGGCTCACATATCGGGAGGTTTAAATAACGGGAGCTGAAATGTCAAGAGATCAAGTGTCGGTAGGCTCATCTGTCGAGGCCCATTTGTCGAGGCTCAAATGTCATAGGGTCAACTGTCGTGTTATCAAAAGCAACAGGAAGTCGAAAAAAATAAAAGCAAATAGTCGGACAGTCTAATAGTTCAGGGTTAAGTCAGAAGTCTAACTAAATCCTCGAATTCTACACTACTCTAAAGTTTTTCAGAAATCCTTTCGTGAAACCATTAATTTTTTGTGGATATCTTATAGATAATATAAAGAGTAGCGCCCGTTCGAGTTGTAAATAATATTACGTGAAAATAGCCTGAAAACATTAATTTTGCTACAACTCGGTTTTTACCAGGTGTCTGAATTCAGAAAGTCGGTTAATTAAAAGAATTCCAAGTGTTTTTGGTTATGAAAAGGAGCTCTAAAGTTTTGGGTATTGAATGGCGAAAACCGTTAATCTCTATCACATCTCGTTCTTGAATTATTTAAAAACTGACAGCCTGCACTGCTTTTTTTACGCATAATAAGTAATAGACGAATGTAGTCTCATTTTATCTATAGTTTCACTCTTCGCGTTCCTGCTTTTGGACGTTAAATTAACAACGCTTTGGTGCTTTTTAAAAAACAAACGATGATTTCCTTCATCAGTAAGACTAAGTGGTACACAGGAAGGTTCGAATTTATGAAACTTGCAAGTATTATTATAACGTTGGGTAGTTTCTGTTTGACATGAATTAATCTAATAAATCTCTTTAGTATATTCAGCGACTGTTCTATTAAACGTTTTATTGAAAGAAAGAGAAAAATAAATGCAAAGAGTCGCGAACTCTCTGTAGAACTATAAACGAGCAATTTTGCCAACAATAAACAAGAGTGCAGAAAGACAAAACAAGTAAAAGATGAACAGTAAAGAAAAAAAACGAGAAGAGTTGAAACAAAATAAAAAATAAAAATTGGACAGGGAATGAAAAAGTGAGGATGGCGCTCTGTGTGTTCCGGGGTTGATGTTGCATAAGGGCCCCCCTCAGAAATGGTGATTTTCGGTCAAAAAATCGGTTTTGAGATACGCACATAAAAAGATAGCCTGAAGTGTCTACTTCCAGAATCTGTATTGCTTTTGGTTACAAAAGTGTTTTTCCGGGATTTTGAGCAAGTTTTCTAAGAGCCTCGAAAAAATGGGTATTCAAATAATGTTTTTTTCCTGGATACTTATGCAATTAAAATTTTTCTGAAAACACAGCTTTGTAGAGCAAACGTTTCTGATCAAAATGAGACTTCGCACAACTCTGCATGACCTTGCATCGAAAAGCTACAGACATTTTCCTAGAAGTCATAAAAATCGACTATTTCATACAGCGTTTAGATAGCGTTTTCGTTATATAAGAGTTACACCTGAAGTGCGCCCCAAGATTTTTAACAGCGGTTTGTCGTAGAGAGTTTATTCTTGTTTTGTTTAAAAGAGGAAAAAACAATACATCGACTGACCGGCGTCGATTTTTGAATTAGGTGTTAGTTTTTGGTCAAACTGAGGATTTTTAGAAAATCCAGAAGGCTCTTTTGGGTTTCGCAGGTTGTTGGTCGCCTGTAAAACTAATAAAGGCTTAATTGAAAAATCGGCGCCGGTCAGTCGATGTAATTAGGTGTCTAGTTTAAAATAAAACAAACCCGAACTCTCCAGCTTGAAGTATATTAAAAAATCTTGGGACGCCGTTCAGGGTTCTTTTTGGACCTTGATCTCTGGAAAACGCCTACACCGTAAGACTTCGAGACAAAAACTTTTTTTCTTTCCAGTAACTCGTTGTGCCGAACATTTATGGAAAGTTTCGTCAAGATCGGATGCACGGTGTCGGAGATAATTTCTGAGGGGGGCCCATAAACATTCTTTGTACAATTCCTTCCTAAAACAAAGATTCAAAACGAAATATAATGATAAAAAGGAATAACAATAAAGACAACGGAAGTTACAGGTCAAAGAGGCAGTTGGATATACTAGAATTGAAGGTTACTCAGGCCGAACGCATATGAGTTTTAACAACTTCTGAGACGGGCGTTTTTATTCGATTTCCTTTTATCGATATAATCTAGGTGATATATACTCTGGCGATCGATATATACTCTGGTGATCGTGAAAGTTTGATTAAACCCATTTTTGTTGAACTTTTTCGACTCTTTATAGCGAAATTCATTCTTATGGCCCATAGCAGCGCTCTCATTGGCGCCATAAGAACTAATGGCTACACTATGCAAGACGTAGTGTATCATACATAACAAAATTTAGCGAAACTACACTATTTCTTGAGCTGAAAATATTAGAATTAAATTCAGTATGTCCCAGCGCGTAGAATAAGCGTAAAACAGGTTAGAGAAAGCACTTTCTGCGCTACTTAAAATTAAGTGAGCATAGATCATAGAAAAGGCGCCTAGCATGAAGATAATCATACTAATTAGCTGATTTTCTTTATGCATTAATTCGAGATACGCGCATATCTCAGGGAATCCAAGCGCGTGTTTCAAGAAAGTCACACAGCGTATCTTCCGCATTTTTCAACGGCTTAAAATTCGTCTTTTAAGCCTAATTACATCATGTTTTACTCGGACTTTTCTTCGAGAACATGATGTAATCAAGCTTCGCCATACAGAAGTCTCTATGTGCAATCAAGTAGTTATTCTAGTGGAAATCACGCCTGAAAAATGAAAAGTTTTTGCTTAAACACTTCCGCCTTGTTTTTGTTGTCTAATTGCTATTGTATTAAGCTATCTTATCAACGCATTATTATTATTAAATTCTTTTTCAGAAAAAATAGTAATAATGACAATTATATTCTGCTTTTTGAGAATTTTTCAGCGCCCTTTATCAATCATTTGAACGGTCCGTAAAATTTCCGTTTCCATGTCCGACGAAAATAGTGATAAGCGATTAGAACAAAAAGAATAGTAGTACCCGATCGATGAATCGATGTATAATTTAATATTTGAAAACGCGGATAAGCGGCATTGTTGACAGTCATGGTAGGTGTAATTTTCGAGAGTATCGTATACTTTTCTCTTCTGAAATACGTTCCAATAACAATGTTCCCAACCAAAACATTGTTCTTGAGCATATGTACCACTCCGTTAACAAATTCATCTGTGTGCTGAGGACTTCTTCTCAAGAATGCGCGCTTGTTACGTACAAAATGAATTGATTGTGCCAGTACAACATGGTCAATAATTCGTCTGTCAGAAATCTCACTGTCGATTGCCGATACTAGTAAGGTTTTTCTTTCATCTAATGTTTAAAAATTTTAATTTAAGTCACCATTGATTATATCTGTGGGGGGGGGGGGGGGGGGGGGGGGGGGGGGGGGGGGGGGGGGGGGGGGGGGGGGGGGGGGGGGGGGGGGGGGGGG